GTTGCAAACATCTTTTTTCACGGGATAGGTGGGCGAACTGTAGCCAAGCTTGTTAAGCATGACTTAGATGTGGTTCGTAGGGTTCGCCCGCAAATCGTTCTCCTCGAGATCGGTACGAACGATCTTGCACTTAATATACGTCCAGAAAGTGTTGGCTCGGCTATTGAGGAGCTAGTTAACACATTATTAACGCAATTCGAAGTGTCTGTAGTGTGTGTGTGCCACGTAATTCCTCGCGGTGAGTTTAACGTGGGTGCATTGGAATTTGCCCGGAATGCAAGAATGCTTTGCCAATATTTGGAGGTAGTTTTGGAGCAAATCGAGCGTGTTTTCTGTTGGCGCCATACCGTTTTTACTGCGCCTAGCAAGGATCTGTACGTGGACGGCGTGCATCCTAATGCCAGGGGTCAAGCTGCGCTGTACCGTAGCTATCGTGGCGCCATATTACAAGCTTTGAAGCATTTGTAACTGTACTACGTCATATATTTTTAAATTCGTGATAAGCATTTGCATTGTGTATAGTGAAATATGTATTGGGTGTTGAGGGCACTCGAGGAGTGATCCATTACAACAGCTATATTGATCATATGTCATATACTCATGTTCCATTTGTGAAGCTAAAAGCCGTATATGCGTTGGTCTTTTGACTGCATTGGCTTGCTTTTTAATCTGAGGAGTGTGTACCATAGTGTCCCTCAGTTTGTGTTGTAAGGAGCTTGCCGCTTATCGATCGTCGACCTTTGTTGTCTGACAAGGCTTGCTTCCTTACTCTTTTGATTTCAGGTTTATCGTCAATTTTATATTTTTGTGTTTTCTTTTTAATCATTTCCTGCCGTGCATGTTAGTTTCATTCCAGATTTACGATGCAACCCGAACGACGTTCTTCACGTGTGCAATCCCGTAATAAACGCTCTGGTTCGTCGAGCGCCGCTGATAGACCTCCTGCCAAACGTGGCAGACCCTTATCTAACAATGCCAACCGCAGACAGAACGTCGCGCCACCAAAAACCAAACAGTCTGGCACGTCACGCAATGAAGCCGACCCCAGAGATGTGCCTGGTCTGAATGCTGACGTGTTGGCCCAGGTTACGAAGTTGGTTACAGAGCAAGTTRYACGCGAAGTGACAAAAGCCCTGAATGCGCCTGAGTTGCASCAGCCCTCTGTTGATCTAACCGAGAAGCCGGTGASTGACCTAACAGTGACTGACCCGCCCGCTCCTTTATCAGCTAACACAGCGTCTTCAGGTGAGCTGAGCAACCCGTTTGTTTCGAGCAGTCTCCCGATCGATTGTCGTGTGAGCGACAAACTCAAAAACAAAATTTGGAACCATGAATATGTGGATTTTGGGGCCCTTCTAGTCAACCCAACCGCGCCACCCAGGTACCGGGTTTCGCTGGATAGCAGTGAGGCCCAGTTGACGCTCGAGCCGGCCGACAAAGTCAGAAAGATTACCACCATAGACTCGTGGCTTACAGCTTTTCACATTTTCGTGGGGGTCTATACCTCCCAGCATAGTAGCGAGGCGCCTAATCTCATGAAATACGGCTCTCTAATTCGCGATTTAGCGGCCAGAGGCCAAAATTGGCGTTTTTACGATGAAAATTTTCGTTTCATGCGCCAGTCGCATGTCCATTCACTCCCTTGGGGCTCGATCCATAGTGAGTTGTGGTTGCGTTCGCATGTGCAAGGCACACAGTCGAAGTTTCAAACTCAATTCCCACCTCGGAAGAGCGAGCGTCCATTTTCGATTCCTACGGGTTATTGTGTGAAGTTCCACCGCGGCATTCCCTGTTCGGGTTGTAGGTACAAGCACTTATGCTTCAAGTGCTCCGGTGATCACCCGTTTTCGAATTGTACTTTTCGTGCCACAAGCACAGGATCGGCCACAAAACACAATGGATCTAGTCCCAATAGCTCCCTGTCCGCTAAATCATCCAAGACTGCCAACACCAATTAGAGCTGATAGACTCGTTCCCCTGTTGGCTGGCTATGATCCCTCGATAGTTAAATTTTTGGAGCTAGGTTTTAATTTCGGCTTCAGGATTCAATTTGAAGGAGAATTAACAGCTGTCAATCCCAAGAATTTAATTTCCGCTCTCGAGCTTCCCATTGTTATTGACGCTAAATTGGCTAAGGAACTCGAGGCGAATCGAATTGCTGGTCCTTTTGCAAATCCTCCCTTTCCACTTTTTCGTGTCTCTCCGTTAGGGGTTGTCCCCAAAAAGACTCCGGGAGAGTTTCGCTTGATTCATCATTTATCGTATCCCAGGGGTGCTTCTATAAACGATGGAATTTCTTCGGAATATAGTACGGTGTCCTACGCTACGATAGATGATGCTATTCGTCTGATTAAGCGTTCAGGCCGGGGCTGTTATTTAGCTAAAACTGACATTAAAAACGCTTTTAGAATTATTCCCATTCATCCCAATGATTACCATCTATTAGGCATGAAGTGGAAAGGCGAGTATTATTATGATCGTTGTATGCCAATGGGATGCCGGAGCTCTTGTAAGACTTTTGAAACGTTAAGTACTGCAGTTGAATGGATCGCTCGTGAGAAGTTAAGGATTAAGAGTATTTTACATCTTTTGGACGATTTTCTTATAATCAATGGTACTTATAAAGCCTGTGCCCAACAGCTCGAGCTTTTCATACAAACTTGTTCTTACTTAGGCATTCCTATAGCGCCTGAGAAAACAGTGGGCCCGGCTTCTGTCCTGTCATTTGCCGGTATTGAATTAGATTCGAATAGAATGGAGGCTCGCTTGCCCACTGATAAGGTAGCCAAATGTACTCAACTTATTGGCAATTTTCTCAAGCGGAAACGAGTTTCTCTAAAAGAATTACAATCCTTAATCGGTCTGTTAAATTTTGCTTGTTCAGTCGTTAAGCCCGGAAGAGCGTTCTTAAGACGTTTAATTGACCTTACAATTGGAATCAAGTGTGCACATTTTTCGATTCGCCTGTCAAAGGAGTCCAAGAAGGATCTTCGAATTTGGCAGTCATTTTTATCTGGGTTCAATTGCAAATCATTTTTTCTCAGCGAATATTGGCTTAACTCTTTTAAATTAAACCTCTTTACGGACGCTTCTGGAGCTTTGGGCTTTGGAGCAATTTTTGGTAAGCATTGGTGCTATGGCGAATGGCCACCCGGGTGGGCTTATCGTAATATCGCTATTTTGGAATTCTATCCTATCGTTTTGAGTCTTTACTTGTGGGGTCACGAGATGAGGAATCAGTGTATTTTGTTCTTTACAGACAATGAGGCGCTGGTACATGTTATAAATAAACAATCGTGTAGGGACAAGCAACTAATGTTTTTCGTTCGTAAACTTGTTTTAGTGTGCTTGCACAACAACATCGTTTTTAAAGCAAAACATGTACCAGGATCCAAAAATACCTTAGCTGATTCTCTGTCTCGCCTACAGGTCGGGACCTTCCTTCGTTTGGCACCAGCGTACATGGACAAATTCCCGTCAGATATTCCTCCTCATCTGC